ACCAGTAAAAACAGAGTCAGGGTTTCCAGCAGACCAGGCTCAACCAAACTGCCTTCTCCTACCAGGCAGCTGTCGGGCAGGATTGTACTCAGACCTTCAGATGGCAATTCCCATCTCTAAGAACTGGGCAAACTACAAGAAATAAGTTATGAAAAAGAAGCAATTTTTGGATAGAGATGGAAACCCATAAGGTTTTAATGAAATGGTTTTGTTTGAGCCATTCATCCACTTCACTCTTCGGTGGCAGAATATCGGCTTGGGCAGGCAATTAACTAAAAACAGGCACCCGAGGGAGAACTCAGTGAGCCTAAGTAACCAGGATTAGAGAGGATAAGCAAGAAGGTAGGGTGATGGGGAAAGCATCTTTGAAGATTTCTTTGTAAAAAATTTTAATTGCAGGCAGTAGAAAATGCCTCTGTGGGGTTATTCTTTCCAGATAGCAAAGGTGATGGAACGGTAGAGAAAGGAAATAGGGATTTTTCAGTGAACTGCAGGAAATCTTCCAAGCAGCTGCTATTCACCTGTCAGCAAGGAAGGAATTAAAGAACAAAGAGCCGAGCTCCCAACAAAAGTACTGAAATCATCAATCTACTGGAGGGAAAAAAGGGATTCCCATTGAAGTGACAACATTTTTCAACACTAAGGCTAAGGAGGAGGCACTATGGTGAGACAGCTGAACGGGGTCTGTCAAAACGCTGTACGAGGATATTCTGTCAAGTGAAATTCAGTGGAAGCAAATGCAAGTTAACGTGTTGTGCCTTCGTACAAATGGATTTTGAGGGAGCTGTAATCCCATGGGGAAAAAGATCTTCAGACTTTCACACAGCTCTAGAAATCTGAGCCTGGGAAGGACTGGCTAGGTGAGTTAACCCTCTGCTGCCACGGAAATAACTTGTCTTGTGTATTGTCTAACGAGCGAGCTAGAATCATACTTGTTTCTAGTGGGATGTTATGTCCTCGCCTTTTGGAGAAGCTATGGTCTGATTTGTAATGGCTGGCATGTTCATGTCCAGTCCTTTCACAGACTTGAGCTCTGTGATTTTATATCTTGGTTGTCAGCACTGTTCTTATTGGTCTTGAAACCCCCCCAAGTCAGCCACACCTCTAAATATTTCTTTACTTAACTAAACCCTCCTGACCAATTATTTACTGTAGTTGCTCCTCTTGGGCTGAACCTGATGCCACCTTTCTGACACAGATGTGCCTGGAATAAAGATACCATTAGAGGGTGGTTCACAGGGTTTTGCCACTGAAGTTCACACTTAAAATGCTCTACATCTGTAGTGGCTGCCTTGTACACCATTCGTGGGGTAAGAGCCTGAGACTTCTACTGGCATAATGTTTATTACAGGTGAGTTTCCTCAGGTCTGACATGTCCATCCTCTAAGTTGTCTTGCCTTTGTACAGCTGGTGCTTAATGTCTCAAATCTCAGCACTTCTCTGCTGCCCTGTCTCGGTGTAAAGTCCAGCCTAGCTTGCTGTCTCCTGTACTCATTGAGCCCCTTCGAAAATACTGCTTTAAGAATTCCTCTCTTCCATCAGAAGTATTTTGTGCCGCCCAAGATGGGTTAATTTGTATTGTCCTGACTGACTTGCAGCAGTATCCTGCACCTGGAGCTCCTCACTCATGGTCCTTGGTGATCAGCCAAAGAATAGCTGTACATAACTGTAACGCTTGGTCCTGTGTTCAGGGACACTGATGAGTCTCTGTTTCATATTCACCATCCTTCCCTGCAGTCTCCTATTACCTATGTTAATAACGATCTTAGGAGAGAAAGCGGCATATTGACTTAAACATTCCTAAACCTTGATTAAAAAAAAAAGAACAACAAAACCAAACCAAACCCATTCTGGGATGAATTTTTTTTTTATACCGCATAACAAGCATAATGGCTGCCATTCCCTCATGCGCATACACAACAGAACAGCTTTCCAGGCTGTGCTGCAGCAATCGCCTTCAGAGCGTGGCAAGCTTAACGCTGTATTTTACCTACAGTCGCATCAGCAGGAGCTTGTCTAAGCTGACTTCTACTGATTTTCGTAACAGCTCGGTACATGCTTCCTAATGAACTGAGGTTCCCAAGTGGTGTAGCTTAGATGCTCAAAGTTTTTTCTTATGAACAGGTAAAAGTTGTTCACTAACTAGTTCCAGGAAATAATTTGTTTTGTGAATTGCATACTTAGTATTTGAAATGGAAGTAGCCTCATTAGTTTTAGCCTGGCTGACAAAATACTTGCAGGTTATAAACTCTATTGTGGAACAGGAACTTTGAATCCATTTTCCAGCGCAAATACCTGGCATCAGCTCCAGCGTGCTGTCTCGGAACACACTCCCTTTGCTGGTTTAGACTTTCATTTCATTGACAAATGTTATTGCAATTCTGCTTGTTAGAATAGCTGTGGAAAGCAAATCACACGTGCAAATAATAGCAAAATGAATTCCATTTATTCTTTGACAGACTACTGGTAGGAAAAAGATGCCTGGCTCTAAGTTTAGCTACCACTGCTAAAGGAATTCCAGTGATGACATCTGTTCAGAGTACAATGCAGGCAAAAAGCAAGAAAGCTGAATGTTCCGAAATGGAAGAAGGTGTATGATGGCATTGCATAAATCTGATAATCCTCACTTGCAGTAACTGATCAGTTCTGACCATTTATTTCTTAAAAAAAAAAATATAAAATCCTCTCAACTGAAGCCAGGGATAAGGCTTGCATATCATTGATAACAGTGTGAAACTCTTTAATTTGCAAAGAGAAGAGCAATAGAAAACAGGCCTGAGGTATTCAATGACGGTAAACAGAAGACTAGCTGAAATGCCCTATTTACCTTTTCTATGTTAGAGAACAAGAAGGCACTCGTTGAACTTCGAAAGGCAACACTTTACAGTGGAGAAAAGGAAGTACTGCATTTAACTCGGGGAGATCATTGCCACAGGATATTGCTGAGGTAAATAAATCTTATATTACATTTTGATACAAAAGTATTATTTGCAGCATTGCTGGCTAACCTAAAACAACTGATCTATATTTTGGAGAATCAATGGCTCACTAAACAGTCATTCTGGGAAGAATTACTAAGCTAAATTAAAAATAAAATTCTTGAGTAAAACAGAAGGGGGACAAGCCTATGAACAAACGAGGCATGGCTAATGTCACGCTGTGGGATTAATGGCTCAGCAGAAAGTAATACGTATGGACTAAAATGGATGTACTCTGGGGAGATGAGGGAAGACAGTATCTGGCTTCACTGAAGGAGCTGAGATAACAGAGGAGAGGTAGATTTTGCATCTTCTAGATTTATGGAGAACAATATTGACAGATTTCCTGGCTTGTATCGGCCTAGAATGGTTCCTCCACGCTGAGGTATGAAGATCTGCATGTCTGTATTCATAAACATGCACCAACGTATAGTGAGATCGACCTCCGTATGTTACCATCTGCAGTACAAATGCCCAGGAAAATGAGAGCAGGAGACGATACAGATGCTAAATGACATCAGCAGCTGGCTGCCACTTACCAGTGTAACCCTTCTGCCCCCAGTAGGTAGACAGTCCATGGAAGAATTTAAGAGGTGAGGCAGGGAGCAGGGGAAGCAGGACTTTAACTTCAGGAGGCAAGGCTTGAGAAGGAGAGAACAAAAAGGCCAGTGGAAACAAGTCCTAAGTGAAAGGGTGACTGCAGGCCCAAACCCTCAGCATTTGTTAGAACTATTAGTGTTGGGGAAAATGCTTCAAATGCACTGATAGAGTGTACATGAAGCTGGGACTACTTTTTCCTCCTGATTCCTGGATGTTATCACCCTAGGATTGAGGTAAAAATGTATCTCTTTAGACTGCTTCATGGATAAGCCAAAAGGGTACTGACCTCACTGAACTGTTGTGGTAAAAAAAAAACACCTAGAAACTCATACTCTGTTCCTCATCTCAAGGGAACCTACGGAGCGGGGGCCTGCAGCCCGGTCTCATCCATGCCTGGTACGACAGTACTCAATGCTGCTGGCCCCCCGTTCCTAACCTAGCTTTTTCACATGCTTTGGTTTCCTGAACAGATGCACGATCTGTTTGCCTGTGGGCTCTATCTGTACACCACAAAAACACGCTAAGCTGTGAGAGCTGCTCCATCCCCTTGACACGTGGATAGTCAGAGAGAGAATGCGGGAAGCTTCTGCCTGCAGTGGCAGAGACTGAAGTGGTCCAAAAAGCAGTGTATTTCCCCATGGGGGAAGAACATGGTAAGTGAAGAGAAATCAGTGCAACCTGACTTCGTTGTGTAAACAGTGTTCTAGCTACACCAGATATAAAACCAGTGTGTTCTGGTGCCTCCTATTTTTGTAATGGCAGAAACAGGTTTGTGTTGTGTAAACAATGTTCACTGTAATGAGTTTAACCTAACGGCTCCGCAAAGAAGAATGAGGTGACGTCACTGAATTCACTATGTAAACGGTCTTGTTGCTTAACACTGATGTGGAGTAAGCTGTATTAGGTGATGGGATGAGAGGTAGTGGGGAAGGACAGCCTCTTCCCTGTTGGCTTCATATGGAGCGGGTATCCTGACTTCTCCTCCTTCTCCATGTGGAGGTGTTGGCTGTTTTGCCAGAATTGCAGTGTGATAACATGAAATGGAAGCTGGACTCTTCAAAAGTTTAGCCCAAGATGAAAGAGTCTCAACTCCTTCTCAGGGACAGTCCCTTCCCAAAGAGGAACATAGCTCCAGGATCTCAGGGAAGGTCAGTGCTAAGCGCGGCTCCTGATTCACAGATTAAAAATTAGATAAAATATATCCAGTCTATTAGCTGAAATCTTTTCACTGTACAGGACTGGGACTTGCACAGGGTTATCTGCTGTTCCAGTCTACAAGTGCTCCCTCCAGAGATCAGAAACCTCCTGTCTGAAACAGCTTTGCAAAGCTTTCAAACCCCAAAGGGAAGTAAGAGTTGTGCGTTTTTAAGGCTCTCCACAAAAGGGTGACTGAAAGATCTGTTCTCCAGTGCTATTTTCAGCTTATTGGAATGCCTGGTGGAAACGTGGCAGCGTGGTTGTGCTCAAGCTGGAGGTGAAGACAGGGGGCAATGAATGAAGGGGCCCAAAGTTCAGCGAGGCCCCAGCTCCGGGAGATTCTTGAGGTTGATGTTGCAAAGTGGTAAGCAGTGGCTGTGTCTCCCCCTGTGAGTAGCCCATGACCAACCCCCCTGATGATACAGGTGGATTGCAAGGAGGAAGATTTAGGGGGAGGAAGCCAAGAAGATGAGAAAAGTCCATGTTAGCAGCACAGAGAGCCTCTGAAAGGTTAGCAGGGCTCTTAGAAAGCAAAGCCTCATCCAGGGGGGGTGGCTGAGGCGAAGAGGACTGAGGCTCACCAGATGAGAGAGACAGGCTGCCAGGGAAGTCTGACAAAAAGCTGTCCACCTCTACTTTGGGTAGTTTCTCAGGCAAATATGAGGTAGATCCAAGCTGATACTTTGGAGGAGGTTGCGGTGGGGAGGAGATAGGAGAAGAAGACTCCAGAGGATAGCTCATTCCCATTGGAAGAGAATTAGGAACCAAAGAATGGGGCATCCCTGAGCTTGGCATGGTTTGGAGATGTGTGCTGTACATGCCCACAGGCAACATGCCAGGGAAGCTCTTACCACCTATCATGTCTCTGGATGCCATACACAGGACAGGACTCAGCTCTTCTTTCACTGCGACAGATGAGCTGCAGCTTAGGAGACCCAGCATGTCAACTGGTTCTGTCTTAATCTTCAGCAGTTCCTGGGAGTGGCTTTTCTTCATGTGCCTGGTCAGATGATCTTTCCTCCCAAACCTCTGAGCACAGTACTGGCACAAGAAGTCCTTCCGCCCTGTGTGCACTACCAAGTGTCTCCGCACATCTTTCCGGGTGTAGAAGCGCCTATCACAGTGGTCGCACGGATGCTTCTTTTCCTTCGCTCCACCAGAAGCCCGCCTAGAATGAGCTTTGAGGTGCTCCAGCAGGACTTGGGTACTTTCAAACGTCTGGAGGCATACCTTGCAGCTGAGATCACCGCTAGCAGCTGCATGCATGGCCAGATGTCGCCTGAAGCCGAGTTTCGTGTTGTAGTTCTTGCCACACTCAGGACAGTGGAGGGCCTCCTTGTTGGGATCGTGGGTCTGGAGGTGGTTGCGAAGGTGATCTTTCCGGTGAAACATCTTCTCGCAGTACATACACTGATGAGGCTTCTGAGCAGAGTGCGTGGCCATATGCCTTTTGGGAGAAAAGCAGGAAAGTTTATAGAGTAGCACCCAACCCCTAAGACAACACATGCTGCTTTTTCAAAATTTTCCTTGTGTTCTACGCTTTATGCCACAAAAATCCCAGACGGCATTTTACCACGCTAAAGGATGCTGCCCTGACAGCCTGGACAGCGGCGACTCTCCAGGCACAGAAGCACAATGTTTCAAGCAACAGTTACAGAGTGCCCATTGCCAGCAGTTGCCCGTCCTCCCTAGAATGCACCACCTCTGCCCAGGTATACTTCAGTCATCTACTTGGCTCCTGTTCTCTCTGTTGAGGCTATCAAAGGGGGTAGTTTATGACAAGAAATGCTCGTCTGCTGGTGAGATGGCTTCATCTCATCTGGAGGCATCAGACTGTGGCAATGTCTGTTGACAGCCATTGTGGACAGATTTTACCTTGGTATCTTACACTCTCTAACACCGTGGTTCATCTAGCTTCCTAGTGATCATACCATTTAAGTATTCTGTGCTCTATTTCAGTACATAAATAGGAACTCTACTTCATGCTGGAACAATAGCTGCCATAGAAATAATCCTGTGATTAAAGTTAGAGGTAGGGCTTATGAAATGTGAATGCTATTCTTGCTTTTCATTTTGTTTTTTAATCTATGAACTTCACGTTCTGCTTCAATTTCCTCCTTAGTAAAATAGAAAACAGCTTGAGCTCAGGATAAAGTACTATCTGAGGTTCTCTGGAAGGTGCTTAAAGAGTGCCAAGTACGGTAACGTCTGGGACTCAACTGCTTTGCAAGGTAACATGGGCATTCCCCCTCCTCCACCTTCTCAGAAATTCAAGCAAAAGAACATGATGGAGGGGTTTTCCCCTCTCTTCTGGTAGGGGAGCACTGTTCGGCAGTTACCTACCTATATAGCTTGTACTTAGAAGCAAAGGCTTTGCCACAGTGCAGCTGAGGGCAGTTGTACGGTCTCTGCTCAGTATGAGAAAGTGTGTGAGTTCTCAGCTTGTCCACATTAGTGAAGGAGGTCTCCGATATTTCACATTGGCATTTTCCCTGACTTTCGGTCTCTTCGCCTCTTGGTCTGGGGACTAATTTCCAGCCTGTCTCTTCCTCCTCCTGCTTTGCATCTTGAATCCAGTTGGGAACACTAGGAAAAAATGCCGTCATGGCAGGCCTAGTAGAACAGGGCCATGTCAAGCAGAACTCGAGCCTGCAGGCGTCTCGCTGCGATCTTGTCCTCGTGCAGTTTTCTGTTGGAACCCTCTGTGACCAAACTGCTTTAATAGCAAAACATCTTCATCTGAAATCACAGAAGGGCTGGTGTTAAGACACTGCATCTTTCACCTGTGCACATAAACACATGTGAGCATTCAACAAGCATTATAATCATGTGAAGATGTGTGTTCACAAACATGGGAAACTCCCATCTCCAGAATGTTTCGTTCTTTTCTCCCTTAACCCCTGTTACCTGAATAAAATGATGTTAAATTCTTTCTGAATGTTTTTGCAACTATTAAGAGCCAGTGTTATCTCTTAAATGCATTTTCTCCCAAAATACTGTAGATAGGTGTCTCTTTGTAGCACCAAATACCTCACCTTTCCCTGTGTGTTTTGTGGATTGCTTCTCATCCCTTTTTTTCATATTCTTCATAGCCTATTCTCACTTGGTCTTGATCTTTGCTTACACGTAATTCCCTTCTAGAGCTTCTCAAAGAAACTAAGGTTCTCTTGCCTTTTTTTTTTTTTTTATCCACTCTGCTACCAACCTGGTGCACTAGTAAGACCACCTCCTGGGAAACCAACCTGAATTACCACACATGGGTCAATAAGGCTGTGGAAGAAAACTTGCTATTATCAGCAACGTCACACATTTTTCAGGAAGGCAACAGATGCTGCTTCTCTTCAGGGTGTGATTAGTCATTGTATTGTCTCTTTTCTACTCTGGGGCAGATTCTGCCTCTCTGGATTAGCAAGTTTTCTACAATAATGAGCAATTTTTAATATTTTTTTCTTTTACACACTCATCCACTAATAATGGAAGCTCAAGTTGTTTCCTGTTCAACAAAATATACCTCCTGGATGCTCTGCTGGCTTTCACGTTGATGAAAATCTACATTAATCTCTCTTAGGTGGTTCTTGAGTTATGTTTGTCTTGTTGGTAAAGAACTGCATTTTTATATGGTTCTACCAACACCTAAACTGGTAAACGGTTAGCTGAAATAAAAACCTCAGAACAGATCTCTTTCACTGAATTTAGCTGCCTGAGAAACTCTTCTTAAAATAGCATCAAACCCTCAACTTCTTTCTCACTCCATGATTGCTTCAGAGGGAGGAACTTCCTGCCTGCACATCAACACGAGTGCCAGTTGTGGGCAGGATGTGCAACTACGAGGGAACTAACCAACCCCCATTAAGAAAGTGCTCTACTGAACGTTATGAATAGCTGAAATAACAATAACTGTAACTGCTCCATCACTCACAATACTGTGAATGGTTCCCTCAGGATGGAAAACACTGGGAAATGGGATGACTCCAAGAAAATGTGTCACTGTGAGGTTCAGAAACATCCATTAAGAACAGAATTCAGTTTTGTGTAGGCTGAATCTACTCAGGCAGAGCAGAACAATAAAGGACTGGAACTGATGAGGTGCCACTTTGGTACAACCCAGTGCAATGTGACGGCTGCTCCTGTTCCTCAGGGTGCAGGAGTCCTGCAATTCAGAGCAGTCTTCCTTTGTAGGTGTCTCGGACTATGAATATTTCATGTCTGTACAAGATGTGTGCTGCAAAAGACAAGTGCTTTCTACCTCCTGCTTCAGAGCTGTGCACACGTTACGGGAGTCTCTGCCACTTTCGCCACGTAGTTGCTTCTTTCCCTCTGAATAAGCTCAGCCATCTGTGCCAGTTTCAAAGCTATCTGAAAGAAGACAGAGTTTGAATTGCACTGTCTTTAACAATAAGGCGCATGAACTATCACCTTCAGAGAAGAAACCCAAATACCAATGAATTCAGATATGGTATTCTCTGTAATTGATTGTTGTAAAATTTCATCAACTTTCCTTTAAAACTGTAAGGGTCTAGCAAGAAAAAGGTCTCTACCTAGTTGGGTCTGTTTCTAAGTCTAAATGCATGTCCTAGGACACTCTGGCAGCTGTGGAATAAGAAAGAAAAAAACAGACGAGGGTCTCATATAGTATCAGTGAAACACAGTAGCCAAGGAAGGTTAACAATGTAATTCATACTTGGCTAGAAAACTCTCTGCGTGATCTAGATATTTACGTTTTCATAAAACTTGAGTAGTTTTCTTAGTAACAGTTCCCCAAAGAATGTTTCCAATGTGCCATATAACTCTGTAGCCACCAGACAGAAATAGTCACCGCTGTGTGGAAACACATCACCCACATTTGTTCAGAGAGTATCTTGTATGTCGTGGCATTCATATCAGCACCGGGAAACTTGGTTGTCTTAGAAAGTTTTGTACTAGTCCTGAAACAATATGTCTAGCCTATGCAGCTCCAGAAATCTCACAGAAGTCAGTTACAGAAAACTCCCATCACAAGATGAATCTTCCTATGCTTTGGTTCTACAGAGGTTAGCAGGTTGGACACAGCTGGAAAATACAATCCACCCGAGAACTGGATTCTCACTGGCTGCCAACTTATATGAAATATTTCATTACTACAGTCATCAAGTTTGTGCAAATTCAAGCTACAAGAGCTCACATAAGCTCATGGATCATATGCTATGTAAGAGATTCCAGCCACTTGTCACTGCACAGAAAACAATGAAGTATGTCTGAGTTGGTACATAGTACAAAAATGCTCTTGGGCTTCACAGAAAGTTCCTGAGATAGAGTCTGCCATGTGCTTTGATAGTTTGCCCCACTGTTTAATTCTTCACAAAGTATGGTTCAATGATACAGCATTTCTGCACAGTTTCTGCCCCTCGAACTCACTCCTGTGAGATGGAGCACTGTTCCTCAGCTAGTGGGAAAACCTTGTGGCCTAGGCTGGGAACCAGATCAGGGAACTGCCCAGGTTAAAAACAATCAAGAATAAATAAAAAGGAGCCTGGATGAGTTCTCTGACCCGATCAACAGCAAAGCTGTGCTGATCTGGCTACAGCGTTTATGCAGCAGCAGTGGGAGGCAGGGACATGGGGCCTGGCAAGCTGCCTGACCAGCCCCTGGATTGTGGCGCTGAGGTTTCTCTTTTCTAAAGGGCATCTCTTCTGTCTGAATTGTGTTTGGCTGCCCTTGGCTTTTACCTGCTGAGTCCTGCTCTGCCTTTGCTAAGGAGCTGCTCCAGTACTGTCACTTTTCTTTCTGCAAGGACACAGAAATGGACCCACGGACTTATGGAACCCCTCTGTCCCCTCAGTCCTCACCGCCCACTTCTGCACTGCACTGGCCAGGCTGTTTTACAGCTGCACGGTGGTCTGCCTGAAGGAACTTACCCAGCTGAAAAGTAACTTCTTTTTAAATTTTCCCTCCCTCAGCCAGCTTTACTAAGCTATTTTAAGTTGTTAAAGCTTAAACTTGCTGAAATGGGAGGTAGCAGCTATGTGGCAGAAAGCAGAAACTAGAACCCACGGTGGGCACTCGGCCTCAGCCCAGCATCGTGCCTCAAACCCAACTTCTGCAGTGATCCCAGCTGCAGTGTCAGGCCTGGCACCAGCCCGGCCAGAGCATGGGCGTACTCGTGCGTTTATTGACTTCCCTACACGACAATCAGTGACAGTAACACCTTAATCTGCTGCAGCAACATCCCTTGGAGCTGGTCTTTCAAAGGCCCCCCAGAGCATAACAAAATCACCCTTTACTTTTCTTTACAGTGTTCTAATCAAGTCCAGCTCCAACCCCTGACCGCAAGGCTCTCCTTCCAGATCTCAGACCACTTAGTGACTTTTCTACATCCTCTGCCATTTTCCAGTATTGCTTTACTAATTATAAGGGAGGAAAAGTGGATACCAGACCTAGATGCACAGTACCAGCCTTGTCAACCCCACACCTGAATATAAAAATCACTCTCCCGCCTCCCTATGCATCTTGTATCGACCTTTTTTTGTTTTTTTCCCACAGTTTTCCTACAGTCACAAACACCAACTCACATGTCATTATGATTCCCTGATTTCCTCTATGAAAACCTTTATTTTCTTCCAGTGAGTGACTTTGGCCGTTTCTAGATACGTAGGTTTTTACATCCAAACAGCCTCATTTTTCTAGTTGAGCTGCTCAAGCCTCAGTATCAGTTTGCCCCACTTGATCACTTACAGATTTTGGAAGAACTTTGCGTAAAGTTTGCACTTATTTTTAAAGCCCAGTGAAAAGCTGATGCACCTTTCCCATAGGATGTAACCAGACACACCATTGCCAGAGTATAATTTTTTCCATCCACTTCCCTGACATGACAACAGACAGGGGATTTTAAAAGCCCAAACCCCGTCCCTGCACCACCAGGAAAGCCCCAAACGCCGACATGGCTAGGGAATGACTGATTTATGCTACAAAAAAATCAATTTTTTAACTCACTCAGCCCCAAAGTGGCTGCAAAGTTCCCAGGACAGAGTGCAGCTGTGCTGGTTGCAAACGGCGGAGGTTACGGCGGAGGTTTCAGGGAGGGGGGGTGGGCCAAGTTACCCCTCCGGGAAATGGGAGCCCGCCCCCGCCCCGGGAAAGGGTCCGTGGATGAGGCCGGGCCGGTGCCAGGGGGAACACAC